CGAAACTAAGTCCCAACAGTAAGTCTAGGTAGCAGTAGATTTATGTAACAGGTAAATAGGAGTAGGCCTAGGTTTAGTTTAGAAGTCGATAGGACTTTAGCTGTCTTCGTACTCCACACACTCGTAGCAGGTCAAGCTGCGCAGCCATTGATAGCCAGAAAAACTGAACGAAGGCATGTAGGAGTGCGTAAATGCATTTCCCTAAACCTGTATTATAAGGAAAAGNAACTGAACGAAGGCATGTAGGAGTGCGTAAATGCATTTCCCTAAACCTGTATTATAAGGAAAAGATGGCATGTAGGAGTAGGTTTAAATAGATAGGCGTATATTTAGGTAGTTAGGTAGATAGAAGTAGGTGTGGGAAATCTGAGTACGCATGATCGAAGCATGCGGAGTCGGCGAAGAGAGCGCCCTCTGGCGATTAAACATGCCTAACGGAATCTTATTTGAAAAAAAAGAACGATGAAGTTTCTAACGGCGTAGAGTCAAGCGTTGCGTCGCGTCGCGTCCACAGTAATCGTGTCTTCTGTTTGCGATAAGACGGCTTCACCGAAACTAAGTCCCAACAGTAAGTCTGGCTAGGAGTAAATTTAGGTAGGAGTAGGTTTCGGAGTCGATAGGACTTCAGCTGTCTTCGTTGTGAGGCCACAATCATTCGCCACAACGATTCTGTGTTCAGGCAGCTTACACACGTGCTAAAAAATGGAAAATTTCTTCTTCGATTGTTCTGACCAAGTTGAATTTCTCTATCTGTTATAGTTGGCGAAGAGTTCAATTCGCGTGGTATAATTATTCGACGGAGAAGTAGTAATGTTGAGCGGAATTCTGAAACGCAACGCTCATACGACGCATTGCAATATCCAATCCTATTCTGGCAAGGCTCTCCTTGCAAGGATGGATATCATTTCAACATCAGGTTGAGAAATCCGCGCACAAATCAGGAAATGAGTAAAAAAGTTAGCGCGATGAGTTACTACTCATACCGACTGATGATTCGTCGGAATATCGACAATCACATATTGAAATTTCGACAATTGTTCGATCAATACACAAAATTTGCGTGCAAGAGCGTCATGTGCTAAAACGTTACTGTACGCAGAGGTTCCACAGTATTATACGTGGAACTCAAAAGAGAGGAAATTTCAACGGCGTAAACAAAAGCCGTTAGTGGACATGACCATTTGTTTTTGTCAGACGCATTGGGCCGTCTTTATGCAGTCCATCCTCAAACTTCGGAATGGTTTTAGTTGCGGTTATTTTTAATCAAGATCCGTGGCCCGACCGGTTTCGAAGACTTGCGGACGGTAAACAATCGAATACGCGCAACATATCGTCAGGCTTGCCAGGAATTAGGCCTACTAGAAAATGATGCACATTGGGAAACTACCCTCGCGGATGCATCAAATATAGGTTGGCCTCGGCAAATACGACTGTTGTTTGCGGTGATTTTGACAACTTGCTCGCTATCGAATCCANAAAAGAGAGGAAATTTCAACGGCGTAAACAAAAGCCGTTAGTGGACATGAGCATTTGTTTTTGTTAGACGCATTGGGCCGTTTTTATACAGTCCATCCTCAAACTTCGGAATGCTTTTATTTGTTTAGCCATGGTTAACAAAACACTAATACAGTTGGGGATGACCGCGCCTAACAGAGCCGTAAATCCTCTGTTCGATCGTGATTTACAACGAGAAACAAAGTTTGATGTAGGCGAGTTGACACAGTAGTACGTTTAAGAAAATCTACCAAAATTGGTTCCAGAACAGCGTGTAGCATATGATACCATTACGCTTGCAATCGAAAGCCAAAGTGGAGGACTGTACTTTCTCGATGCACCTGGAGGAACAGGGAAAACCTTCCTCATTTCACTTATTTTGGCTACCATAAGATCACAGGGAAATATGGCATTAGCAGTTGCATCGTCTGGAATTGCGGCAAAAGTGTTCAACTCCATTGATACTGTCCTGAATGAGGTAGAGGCGGTCAATTATCCGACCGAGTTTTCAAATTTGCTGGATTCACCGGGCATGCCGCCTCACGTGTTAACATTAAAGGTCGGAGTGCCCATAATTGTACTTCGAAATCTTAATCCACCGCAGCTTTGTAACGGTACGAGGCTCACGGTAAACAGCATGATGAGTAACGTAATAAAAGCCACAATTTTGAATGGGAAATTCAAAGGCGATGAGGTTTTGCTGCCACGTATACCGATGATTCCGGTGGACGTGCCGTTCGAATTTAAGCGTTTGCAGTTTCCGGTACGGCTCGCATTCGCAATGAGCATTAACAAGGCACAGGGACAAACTCTTAAAGAGTGTGGATTGAACTTGAAAAATCCATGTTTTTCACGCTGACAGTTGTACGTTGCCTGCTCACGCGTTGGAAAACCATCGAATCTATTCGTGTACGCACCAAATCGCAAAACTAAAAATTGTGTGTATCCAAGAGCATTAAAGTGAGCAAAATGTAGACCTTTTTTTTTAATTTTCAACGGCATGTGTGATTAAACAAAAAGGGGAACTGAGTTACATAAGCTTTTATGCTCAGTGGTTACCGGGTGTTCCCTGCACAGGGCGAGTCCTGGACTACCCGCAGGTGTGGTATCAACTCCCTG